ACAAACCAAAGAGTCGCCAAATTTTGTCAAAAATTATATAATTTCTGCCCTTTTCGGGTGTTTTAGGAAAATTGTGAGCTGGAAACGCAAATATTTCGATAAAAACATGCCGAAACTTCACGACCAAAAATGGTGTAATTTTTGTCTTTTTTGAAAATAAATTTTGTAAATTTTTGTAAAAGTGCTATGTTTACTCTTTTCAAACATTCAAGCATGTTTTTCAACAAACAAAATCTCAAGTTTTTGCAAGATTTCTCTAAAACAAAGCAAAAAGTCGCCACATTCACTCGAAAATTATATCATTTTTGTACTTTTTGTGTGTTTTAGAAAAATTGTCAGCTGGAAACTTAAGTATATCGTCAAAAACAAGCCCAAAAATCACGAAATTAGGTCAAAAATGGTGTTATTTTTGTCTTTTTTCTGTAGAGACATGTTTTTTACGACATTTATTTAAAGAGAGTCAAAAATTCGTTAAACTGGGTCGAAAATAACATTATTTTAGCTTTTTCCGAGGTTTTAGCACATTTTTCAACAGGAAAAGTAGTCATTTCCAAGTCTTTGTTAATAACAAGCCAAAAATTTACCAAAAATGAAGCCATTTTTGACTTTTTGAGTGCGTAAGCACGTTTCCAAGCCTTTGAATTTATTTTCAAAAAATGTTACTAAAACTCACAGAGAAATTACCAAATAAGATTAAATTGATCGCTCGGATTAATTCGTTTTTGAATAAAAGACTCATTTATTTTACAAGATTTAGCATGTATAAAAATCACAAATCAAAAATGATATTTTGTTTATTTTATCAATTTTAAATGGTTTTTGAGCAACAATTAGTGTTATGTTTACTTTTTTCAAACATTTAAGCATGTTTTTCAACAAACAAAATCTCAAGTTTTTGCAAGATTTCTCTAAAAAAAGCAAAAAGTCGCCACATTTAGTCAAACATTATATAATTTCTGCCCTTTTCGAGTTTCTTAGGCAAAAAAAACAGCCTAAAATTTACGAAATTATTATTTCCTTTTTTGAATGTATATGTAGGTTTTTGAAATGAAAACTTTTTTTTTTGAAAAATTTCTCTAACATTAATTAATATGATCTCTAATTCTCTAATTTTTAGCAAGTTTACGAGAATGTAAAATAAGCATATATGAGTAAAAACGTAAATTAAAATTAGTTTCACCGTTTTCGGGGAACGAGTTGAAAAAATAACAATTTTTAAACTGAAACTGAAGACGAATCTAGAACATGCATCAACTTGGAGCTCATTTCAATAAATTACACAAAATTTTCATAACATTTGCTTGTATCTTTTGCAAAATAACTTTTTTCTGTATATACAACACCTTTTTTTATTAAAGTTTTTGTAGCAAGATTCTAATTTTTGTTCACAATATTTTACTTACTTGCAAAGAGTTTCCATTAGTATTATAAATATCTATTGTATTCGGTCTTTAGACTTTAGGATGTCAAAGAGACATACAAAACTCATAAAAGTGTAAATTTTGACTGCACTCCAACTTGAAGACCTAATTTTTTAATAAAAAAAAGAAAAAGGATACTTTGGATATGGCTGTTAGCAATTTTTTTACCAAAATTATAACTTGGTGATTTTCATTGTAAATAACTATAACGTTTTACGACACCACAAGTGCGTTTTCAATGTTTACCCCTTTTTTGGTTATTGGTTTAATAGGCGTCCCAGTTTCAGAGTTGTTACAACACATTCCAACTTTACATAAATTAAAAATCTTCGTTTCTTCAGGTTTCATATTTCAGACACCTGTCAGACACCTAATCCGTCTAGATTATCCGTAACGTGAATCCTTCTCTTCCGAGAGCTTTAATTAAAGCTCACTTCAGACTCGGACTCGGCAAAAGGGCATCTCGACACGTCGAGAATAATTCGTGTGATGAATGTATCGAAGCTCATTGAGAGATCGTGGGCAGATAAATTATGCGGCCTACCTGCCATTGCCTAACAAGGCCGCTGCTTGGATTAAGAAGCGTTGTAATAGGCGCCAACACATGCTTTCAATTTATATAAACGGTCCGCAGCGGAGGAATTAATTGGCGGTGACAGTAAACAGCAAAAAGAATGATTGATTCGGGAAACGTACTGAATCAAAAGGAAGAATTTTTAGTTTCTCTTGAGGTCGCGGTATTTAATCTAGGACGGAATCAAGACTGTTTTTTTGTTGATTGCGTGGGTGGTACGTGGGTCAGAAATAGACAATGGAATGGCTTAATTTGCATTCAGGGACGACTTGCAGGCTTTCTTGAATTGATAACTTTGTGCTGTTTTTACAAAACTGAATTGATGCCATTAGAAACGATAAGATTATGGAGTTTATTTTGCATTTGTAACATAATTGGTTTTCTCTTTTACAGACAATGAGACACTCTCATTTTCAATACAAAAATCTAAAATGTAAACCGCTCCAAATTGTTACAAACGAAATTATCAGATTTCGAGACTAATATTCTATGATAAAAATATAACATTTGTTAAGAATTTATAAAAAAAATCATAAAATTTGTAACACACATGAGTCACAATCCTAACAAATATTCGACTAAAAAAATACCAAATTGAGTGAACTTAATTGAATGAAATGATATAAAAACGTCCAAAGGTACAAAATAATTTACAAAAATTCACAATATTCGTGCCCTTCATCAATCTTACAACATTTCTTTGTTAAAGCTCCCAAAAAACAAATTCACACCTCTTACTAATTAAAAAAAAAGCCGGAAAAGAAAAACAGCTATTTTTGGCAGCCTATACAAATATAATTTTTGCATTGCCATTTAAAATGTGAATATTTATAATTGAAAAAAAAAATATGATTTGAAAATCGCAAGCAATGAATTAATTTTAAAGTAATTTTTATATGTTCTGTTCTGTATCATGTTCTTCATGTAACTCTTAAAAAAGAACCAAGTATTTTTCAAGTTTTCAAATTTATGTTTATCTGCATTAAATATGTGATACCTATTTCGTTATTTTCAAAACTGCAAAAAAAATTTCTCTTGATTTAGATACAATTGATGAAGATACAATTTTCCAATGATGCTACTTTGATGTTTCAGGTTAGGTAATTTTGTGTTTTACTAATAAGAAACACATAAATACACACATGTAAAATATTAGGAGTAAAAAGTAAATAACATTCAAAAAATAAAACTTGGAAAAAATCGCAGATCCATGTTGCTATTTTCTGGAGAGGTAAAATTGGTAACACCACATCAAAGTTTTGTATTTATGGTTAAATTATTGAATCACTGTGTATGGAATTCTGAACAATTAATTCAATATTTATGTGACGCTCTGTATAGAGAATTACTATTGTATCTAAAGGAATAAAAAGTATAGAACCAATTGGTTTTATCTACTTCCAAAAAAATAATCGGTAATAAAAATTAAAGTGCTATAAAAAATGTGTTTTGAGAATGAAATTTTGTTTTATGTTTGAGTTAGAATTTTTTTTTCAAAATAGTAACTTATATGAAAATTTTTTTCGACAAAAATTGAATAAAATGAAGATAGTTCTACACCTTTTTCAAGTGTAATTCAGAAAGCATAAGATATATTTTAGAAAACGTTAATTGTAATTGAGATTAGTCAGTTGTATTTCAGAAAGTGTTAATTGTAATTCAAAACAGTAAAATTAATTTTAGAAACTATTAGATATAATTCAAAATATCTATTTATTTTGTAAAATATCAAGTTTATGTAATTTTTTTAGTTTTGAAAATAAAATAATTCGTGTTTATGTGTAAACTTCATTTTGAGATAACAGTACAGTAAAATCGTTTTCATAAGACCTACTAAAAATTTTATTGTAAATGCGGTATTGTTAAGAGTAAACCAGAGGGTAAACAAATCATAAATTAGTGGAACCCACCCGGACCCAGAAACCAAGGAAACAGATCAGTTTTTTACAGGACCGGATTACTTACTTTCTTTTTGTCTAAAATACTTAAAATATTTTAATAGTTTTTGAAGTAGCTGTTATTAAAGCCAAGTATTTTAAGAAATTTAAGAAAGCCAGGTGGTTAAGCTATTATTAAATAAAGCAGATTTTTTTTAATAATAGCTTGGTAAAACTCTACCAGTACTTTGGTTTTAAATACGGCCCTGTTTTATTCTAGTGGGTGCAGCAACACTTGAAAGGAACGTGCTATTTATGGAGGGTTACAAATTCAAGCCATTATTTGGTTAATCCCTTATAATGTGTCATAACTTTTTTAGTAGGTCTTAGGAAAACGATTTTTCTATAAGTTACTCATCCAAATTACAATTGATATTTTCTGGATTACATGTAACATGAAATACAAATTGGTATTCTGAAATACATGTAATGGTTTCTGAATTACAATTAATACTTTCTGAAAGACAATTGACTAATCTAAATTACAATTTGCGCTTTCTGAAACTAAATTACTAATTTGAATTACATGTGATGGTTTCTGAATTACACTTGAAAAAGGTATGTCCTTAGCCTAAAATCATAACCTTTGTTTTATGATTTGAAAAATTTTTGAAAAACCCAAAAAAAATAATTTCAAATTCTTATTTTTGAGAAACGTGACATTTTGATAGTACTTTACCATTCATCAATTAGTTATTTCAAAAATACATAATTTAAACATGGTGGTTAAAACCTAGAATTACTTACTGAATTTGTTTAACTTAATTTTAGCTCTTATTATTATTAAAATATATATTTTTTAAATCAACAAGATTAACATCACTGAACGTGATTTCCTTTTTTAATGATAAATGAGATTAAACGACAGATACTTAAACTTGACATGGGATTAATTACAAAATATAAAATACGTTTGACATCTTATGGGAATCAAGTGCTTGAGTCCGATAAAATCTTGCTCTTTAATGATTAATATCTGCCCTATTATGGTGCTCGCCGAGTATTTAAAGTACAACAAATGACGAATAAATGTTTGTAGTAATAAAGTAAGGGTTTGTTGAATTTCAGGCAACAACCGCGACGCCAACAACAACCTGATGGACAACAAAACGGAGCAATGGTTCGGCGCGACCGTCAGTTCTTCAGGCCGGGAAGAAGGTCCCATCGTGGTAAGTTTGAATGTCTGCAACGTGGTGTATTGACATCATTGACGAACGATCGACTCTTCGAACTTGCTCTACCGCATTACAGAAGCGATACGTCCGTATTTGCCGCGGATGACCGCGCTTTTTTACCACGGAACGACCATTCGATATTCAGGAAACGTACGGCATGACATCGACGGTCAACGTCCACCACTGATCTTTTTTCCAGATGAGACGATGTCGCGAACACCGACAATTTGCCCGATAGCCTTTATTTTCGGTTATTTATCGGCTGTCCCCTTTCGCGCGTTTCGATGCCCTATCTTAACGGCCTCAAAAACACGCTGATCCAGGCGATGACTGGACATATAAATTGTTATTTACATAATGACTGTAGACCGGAGAGATCGGAGGATGCCCCACGACGTGACCACCGCTTGCAGATAAGCTATAGAATATTTTTAACGCGCCCGACTATTAAATTTAAAGCCGTTCCGGTTGCATCAGATAAATTGACAATTCACTGCGATACGATGGAAATTTAAAGCTGCTTAAGGCATTACATAAATTATTAAATCAAAAGGTGATAAAATGCGGTAGCGAGCTTTATGGCGGCGTTTTTCCAAAGGTGTGAGGTGTTTCGGACGTTTCTGGGTAAAGGTTGCGAGATCGAAAGATACGCAACAGCCTTTGTTGGAATGTCTCTTTGATACCGACACTACAACTTTATTTCTTTTATTACTAATTCGTTCCTAGAAGAATGTCATAATTGTTGGTGCATTTTCCAATTTTTGAAGAAGTAATAATTGTGGGATGTATGCTACATTTGGACTTATCTTTTTATTAGTAACAAAAGGCAATAACCATAATTGGTATTTTGTAATGCAAACAGCAAATTTAAGTCAATTTGAGGAAAATTTACTGTACGTTTTTCATGTTTTGCTTGGTTTCGAAATTTTTCTTTAACATTTTTGAAGTTTATCTGCATTTTGAAATCAAATCTGAAGAAAGCATCGCATCCTTTCCCCAAAAAAAAATTTGGGAGCCGACTTTTCAAATTTTCAATGAGTGCAAGAGTGCATAAAAACAAAAACTTGATAAATTTATCGTCTTTAAAACAATACAAATAACATAAAAAGTTTCTTTTTGGATCTTTTCCGCACATTTTACGCGAAAAACAATTTCTTCTTCTTTATTTTTGCTGAATTTAATGCATTGAGAAAATTTAAAAACAATATAATTTTTCGTGTAGTACAAAGAAAAAATCAATAAATGACAGTAAATAAATACAAAAGTGCTTAAAGTATGTATGCAATGAAAACTGTAAAGAAAATAGTACATGTTCAAAATTGCTTTAAGTTGTTGAGTTGAAAAATAGTACACTACTATTAAATTAAAAAAAAAATCGGAAACATTTAATAAAACTGCCTTTTTTTATAAAAAGTTGCATGAGTTGTTTGTAAATGAGTGCTGAATACATCTTGGGGGATCAACTTTTAATTATTAATGTAATAATTTGATGTTTAAAATTAAGGTATGCAAAATCTGAATGATCTTAAGACCTAGTCAATATTGTTTCTTGATTTGTTTTTACAACTATTCAAAAAAACATGAACAATTATTTTTTCAGATTTAACATGCAAAATTGTAAAAAAAGTTGAAAAAATTGCTTTTTTATATTGATGAGAAATTAATTCCTTTAATTCTTTTGTAAAATATTAATCAATCGTTTTCAGAAAATAGTTTGATAGATCGATTTAAAAGTTTACAGAGCATTGGGGTAACTAACCTACATTGAGCTGTAAAAAAACATGGACACATTAATCTTCCCATCAATATTTGTGAATCCGCGTTAGATTTACTAAAACCACAAAAAAGATATTTTTTTCTCTTTAAATTAATGTGGAGAGTGTGAAAAAATATTTTCTTTCAAAAAATCGTAAAAACATATAGAAAATGTATTCTAGTTTTTGAAACTATCCTTACTAAAATATCAATGATCAAAGACAAAAAGATCTTTTTTCACTAAAGTCAAATATCTCAGTGAGAAATTGATGTAAAGAGAACATAAAAAAGCAAATTGAAGCTGAATGAATAAGCTATGCGGTACATGCATTGATTTAACTAATAAAAGTTTCCCCAAGTCGGTGGACCAAAAAAATAATAAAAAAATAGTTTTTTTCCGGCGTTAATTACTTAGGATTGCTTCATAATCGTAGCTCAGAAAAATGTTTTGCGAAAAGATCTCAAGAATAGAAACTTTTTTAATCTAGATACGACCATTGGTTTATACAGGCTGCGCCAGAACTCGCGCCCCAGAGAAAATTTTCAAGTAAAGTAAGATACCAAGAACATGAAAAAAATGTTTAAAAAATTCTATCTGTCAAAAAATTTTGACATTTATTTTTTGACATTTGATTTTTTTTTATATCTATTTAATGATACTGATGATCTTGTTCTTTTACAATTATTTAGTCCAGGGACAAAAATTTTGCCAATAAAAGCCACAAATAACATTGAACAGAGTTACAATTTAGGATACAGCTTCCTTGTTTCCTCTTTTAATAGCCTAAACAAAAAAAAACTTGGAAAATTATTTTTCCAACAGAAATAAATAGAGTCAAAGTCCAAACTTAAACCCTCATAACTTCGAAATTTTTATAGATAATTTTTTTTTAACATTTTTTTCATGTTCCTTGTATCTTACCTTATAGGGTATTTTTCTCTGGGGCGCGAGTTCTGGCGCACTCTGTATAAAAAATGTATGTAGAATGTTTTGTCTTTTTGAAGTAGGTATTTGAGATAATAAAAAATATTTTTTTAATTAATTAGGCGCTTGTGAAAAAAAATATTTGCGTACAGAAAATCACAAGTCTCATAATTTTTTGTGTACAAACTCCTGAATAAATTATTTATTTGGAATTTCACCAACTTCCTTGTTGAATTCTATTTGCAATTTTTTGCACCTCTTCAGTAATTTACCATCTGCCGCAGCACCTTTGCAACGTCCGACTCTGTAACAAATCACCGGCAAGCCGCGACACTCTCTTTCATTTGGTAAAAACGTATAGTCCTCGCTTGCAGTCCCTTTCCCTCATTTATTAAACGCAATCAACGGACACTAAATAAGAGTCGATAGATCCGTAATTAATCGGCTTTCAAGTCTGCGACAAAGTGTAACAAATCCAAAGTGCGCTTTAGCACTTAAAAGAGCATATCAACGGGACGTCTCCGCTTATTCTCGTGCCAACTGGTGCGTTGTAAGAAATTAATTCAGGATAAGGTGGTTGTGTAAATGCCTTCTTCAGATTTCCGCCGCCTGGCGTGTTCCGTGTCTGCAAAAAAGACAAAAATGATAACCTGGATGACCTTTCGCATTCATGGTAGCGGAGCGGCTGCCAAAGAAACAGGCACTGATCTTGAGGACCATGTTGAGAAGAGGAGGAAAAAAAGACGAGGCTTTTAGCGACGACAAATGCGTTGAACTTTCGAACTTGCTGTGCGTGAGAAATTTTCAGGCCCAGGATTTTGTAATCCGATTTTTTGTTTTCCTAACAGATACTTTTCACTTTTTTTAGTTTTTTTAAACATCTGTCCACGCTTCATACTTTTTTGTTTTCTCTCTCATTTTTTTTTCTTCTTTTATTATATCACAATATTGAACTTATGAGTACTTGCAATCTGTTTCTATTGATCTGTTTAGAACAAGCTTAAAGTACTAAAAAATATCAACTTTTCTTTATACTTGGCTTTTTTATGTTTTTTCTTCTTGGTTCTTTCTTTTAACAACCGTTTAGATTTTTTTTCAATTGTGTGTTTTCTCAGCAAACTTTCTTCCTCTTTTTTTTGGTCGATTTTTTCCTCTTTCTCTTCATAGTATTTATTGCACTTGCAATTTGTTTCTATCGATCAGTGGTAAGAACAAATTTAAAAATTCTAATTTCAAAACCAACTTTTTATGGCAATTAGCTAATTTTTTCTTTTTTCTTCTTCAACATTGCATTTTTCTTTTTGCTTCTTTTCTTTTAACATTTATTGATTTTAGACTTTTTTGTTTTCTCTCTTAATTTTGGTTTTCAACAAACGTTCTTCTTTTATCATATCACAATATTGAACTTATGAGTACTTGCAATCTGTATCTATCAATCTGTTTAGAACAAGCTTAAAGTACTAGTTTCAAGAAGCAATATCAACTTCCCTTTATAACTGGCTTTTTTATGTTTTTTCTTCTTCAACATTTTTCTTTTTGGTTCTTTCCTCTAACAACACTTTAGATTTTTTTCTTTTCAATTGTGTTTTTTCTCAACAAACATTCTTCCTCTTTTCTTGGTCGATTTTTTTTCTTTTTCTCTTCATTATATTTATTGCACTTGCAATTTGTTTCTATCGATTTGTGGTTAGAACAAATCTAAAATTTCTAACTTCAAAACCCACTTTTTATTGCAATTAGCTTATTTTTTCTTTTTTCTTGTCCAACATTGCTTTTTTCCTTTGTGCCTTCTTTTCTTTTAACATCTATTGCCACTTTAGAATTTTTTCTTTTCAATTGTGTTTTTTTTTTCAACAAACTTTCTTCCTCTTTTCTTGGTCGATATTTTTCTTCTTTCTCTTCTGTCGATCAAATTTAAAACCATTTTTTTTATTGTAATTAGCTTATTTTTTCTTTTTTCTTTTACAACATTGCTTTTTCCTTCCTTTCTTCTAACATCTATTGACGTTTTAGACTTCTTTTTTTTTCTTTTCGATTTTGTTTTTTCTCAACAGAGTTCCTTCCTCTTTGCTTGGACAATTTTTTTCCTTTTTCTTTTCGTAACATTTACTGCACTTACTTGCAATTTGTTTCTAACGATCTATTTAGAATAAATTTAAAGATTCTAACTTCAAACCAACATTTTATTGTAGAGCATATTTTTTCTTCTCTTTGCTTTTTGCATTTTTTCTTCTAACGCCTGTTGACACTTTAGATTTTTTCAATTGTGTTTTCTCAACAGACTTTCTTTCTCTTTTCTTGGTCATTTTTTTCT